CCCCCCAGCCTCCTACACATGCTTTGATAAGGGTCTGGGGACAAGCCAGCAACTGAAGTACATGCCCTTGACTGGAATCGAACCTGGGACCCTTCAGTCCACAGGCTAATGCTCTATCCACTGAACAAAACAGGCTGCAGCTTAAATCATTTACTTTTAATCTGTATGTGTCTTTATATTTAAAGTGGGTTTTATTTTTGATTCACCCTCATAATCTGTCTTGGCTTCTGGGTCTGGCCTGCCTTGCTGCCAGGGACCCGTCCATTGGGTCCCCGGTGGCAAGGTGGGGCCAGGCCTGCCCTGGAGTATGCAAATTAGCTGCCATCTTTTTTGGCAGTTAATTTGCATATCATGCTGATTAGCCAATGGATGTGTAGTGAAGGTATGGTCAATTACCATGTTTTTCTATTATTATATAGGATTCCCTATGCTGTATATCACGTCCCCATGACTTACTGATTCTTAAAATACAGAGCATTTCACAGATTTGCATGTCATCCTTGTGTGGGAGCCTTGCTAATCTCTGTGTCATCCAGTTTTCACATATGTGTTGCCAAAGTGAGCACACGCCTTGATTCTTAAGATTGAGAAAACGCACCTAGGATTTTGGCATCTGAGGAAACATGGTCTGAGATGTTGCTTATATGATCAATTTCACCATCATTAGAGTCTAGAGTCTATTCGCTTCTCTGCAGTCATTTTCTGATTTGTCTAATAATTATGAAACATCTTCCTGTCAATTTTTTTCTCTTTGACATTGTGCATGGAAAATGAAAAGTTTGATGGTTTTTTAGTTGTGGTCAGTGAAAGCTTTAAAAAAGATAGCAAAGACAGAGTATCTGAACTTCTTTTATGCCTTCTAGAAAGACAATACAGTACCTCAAACACACCAAAAAATGAAGTATGAGATAATAGTAATAGTATTTTTCTTTCACTATTGCATTATTCTTTTAGACAATTCCATCATTCTTTCATTTTCTTATTATTTTAGTTATTTTTAACATAGTTGGGAATAATTGATGAGTAATGATGAAATAATTACTAGGATGATGAAATACCGAACAGTTTTAAGATGCAGGAAGAATAAGAACACTAAGACTTTAAAATATATCTGAGATTGTAGAATAATTCAGTGGACCCATATGGTTATTACAAGATAGAATGAATCTCATTATAAATAGTAATTTTTTTCTTTGTTCTGAAAACCTCCAAAAAGGAATAAAAGTCATGAAATTTCAATTCTTGAAAATAGAATTGTTCAAAAAGGAAACTTAAAAACTAAAATTGGGTCCATGCTGATGTCTGAGGGTTAAAGTTCCCATGAAGGTAACAGATTTTGTCTCAGAAGGTGACAGTTAACTTCTAGCTTGTTGTTTCAGGGGCATTGATGTTGTGAGAAACAAAATCAAAATGTTCGCCCAGCAGAAAGTCACCCTTCCCAAAGGACGACATAAGATCATCATCCTGGATGAAGCAGACAGGTGGAGTGCTTTGCCAGACATTTGACCTTGATCTCTAAGTCTCTTATCAGGCTTTATTAAATCCAGAGAAAAAGCTTTGCCTTTGCACTTTTGTGGTCTATTTGCTTATCTTCAAAAGCAATTTCTAGGAGCCTGAGCCCTAAAGTCATCTTAATTAACTTACAAACATTTGTCTAAGGCAGTCAGCTAATATGTTTGTTCCAGCATCACTTAATGGTGAATAATTTAAATGTTTTTTTTATTGTTGTGAAATACACATAACATAAAACTTACCATTTTAGTGTGTAATTCGGTGACATTTAGTACATTCACAATGTTAGCCATTACCGGTCTAAAATAAAAGTTTTAAATAACGTGGTTTTTTTTTGTTTTTGTTTCTTTGTTTGTTTTTTTTAGAGAAACATTGATCAGCTGCCTCCTGCACACCCCCTACTGGGGATGTGCCCACAACCAAGGTACATGCCCTTGACCGGAATCGAACCTGGGACCTTTCAGTCCACAGGCCGACGCTCTATCCACTGAGCCAAACCAGTTATGGCTAAATCACGTTTTTAAAAAAGTAACTCATATTCTTTGAAGAAAATTTAGAAAATATTGTTAATATCTTGCTTTACTTTCTTTTTCTACACTATATATTTTTACATAGTTGAGATCATAATATATGTAATTTTTGTATCCTGTTTTTTCCTTTTAATATAAAAAGCAGTGCTCCACATTATTATAATCTTGCTCGGAACATTGTAATTGCCATGTTATAGTACATAGTTTGCTACACCTTAACCTATTTTACTGTAACATTATAGCAATAATAGCCAACATTTATCGAGCACTTATATGTAAGCATTACATTATCCCAGGTACTCTACATGTTATTATCTCATTTAATTGTCATCGACAACCCTTTGACGTAGACAGTATCATTATCTCCTGATAGGTAATGACACTGAGGCTCAGATAATGTACCTGTGGTCCCAAAACTAGCAGATGAAAGAGTTTCAGGTGGGCCAGGCAGCCTGGCCGCTGAGCCTCTACTCCGTGCCCACATGCACCTGCCTGTGGAAGACCCAAACAGGCTCATGAGGAGAAGCTGAGCATGCCCAGTGAGGAGGTCAGGGTTCACAGTCTCTAGGGAGGGATTTGTGTCCCGAGGGCCTCCGGTCACAGTTGCCAACTGCACTCTTATATTTTTCTTCTCAGCATGACTGATGGAGCCCAGCAAGCCTTGAGAAGAACCATGGAAATCTACTCCAAAACGACTCGCTTTGCTCTTGCTTGCAATGCTTCAGATAAAATCATAGGTGAGGGCCAGCTCTGGGTGTCTGCGGTCTACATGGTCCTCCTCTGGCTCTTTAGCAACAGAAGAGCAGGGGCTTTCTGATTGCCTGACATGAGCCAAGCACTATGCCACGTAATCAGCTTTTTCATTTACTCTATATAACTTTGCAGAGGTATTATCAGCTCCACATTGGAGATGAGAAAACTGGAGCTCAGAGAGGTTTAGTAATTTGCCCAAGGTCACATAGCAGGTGGAGGAGCTGAGATTGGCACCCCACATCTTTCTGCCTCTTGCACCATCACAAGCACACGTGACATTTTGATATCCTGTGCACAGTGTCATAGTCATTGCCGCTCTCCAGACATGTTCCTGCACTTTCTGTGGGCCTGAGTACTGCACATGCACTGCGTCTGCACACCGGACTTGGTTATTGCCAGGGATTGCTTCACCTGTGAAACCTTCATGTTAGTCTTCTCTCTGACCTGGCATGTGTTCTTCCAGTCCCCGCTCCATCTATTTGTTTCCTCACAGTTTTATCCCCTCTCCCCCTTTCAGCATCTCAACTTCCTGGTGGTTTCACATCCTTCTCTTTTTCTTATTGTTTTGTTAATCCTCACCCCAGAATATTTTTCCCATTGATTTTTTTTAGAGAGAATGGAGCGTGGAATGGAGGAGTATGGCGAGAGAGAGAGAGAGAGAGAGAGAGAGAGAGAGAGAGAGAGAGAGAGAATATATCAGTGTGAGAGAAACACATCATTTGGTTGCCTCTCACACTTGTTCAGACTGGGGGCTGGGGATCAAACCTGCACCCCTGTACGTACCCACAACCACACCCCTGTATGTACCCACAACCAGTCAGGGCTCGCAGACTTCAGGCACAGTCCAGCTTTCTCTGCCTCTCACCATTTCTCACAGCTCTTTTGTCCCACTGTCCTTGCCTCACATCCGCCCTGCTAACCCCATCCTGTGTGAGCTCAGCCATCTGACTCTCCCTTCTCTTTACTCCCTTACAGGCCCCCCCTCCCCTGGGGCCATTGTGCACTGTTGTAAACAAACTGGTTATCAATCATGATGCCCCCACAAAGTTGGTGGGCTCTTTGTGTTACCAGGAATCCTTTATGTCCTTTTACTCTATCAGGATAGTCATTATTTGTTTATTAATTTATTCAGCTCTTCACTCAATAAGCATTTTCTCTGGTCTCAGTAGGTGGCAGGTACCACTAATGCAGGGCATACGAAGTTTAATGAGAAACATTCTCTACCTTCAAGACATCAGTGGTGTGATGGAGAAAACTGCAAAAAGTTTTGACTGATGGGTGTGTATGGCGCTGTCTCCTTAGCCGTGGGAATCTATGAGGACAGGGGCACTGTTATATTTAGAGGCCTCCCCCGGTGCATTTTGCTCAGGGCTGTGTGATCTGAAACTGCACGTGTTGGTGGAGGCAGCTCTGGCTTTCGCTTTTTATCAAAGTAATTTTTGTGATACATACAGCATTTGGATTAACTTTAATTTTTAAAGAGATATAGCAAACAAATGAGATCTCTAAAGGAATTTATTTCTTAGCATTAGAGGGAATGGTTTATGATCAAATTGCTGCAGAGCTAACTTGTGAAACTTAATAGCCCAGTCTCACTTTGATTCCTGGAGCCATGCGTTAAGAGATAGGTGTACATCGAGGAAGGCCACGCTGCCTTATTCTGACATGTAATTAAATTCTATGAATTCAGCTTTTGGAACGTCTCAAAAGATAAAATTGACTAGAGGAAACTTCTATTGAAGTTAGAATATTAATTGCCTTAAAATATGTATTCCTGTTCCTAATTGATCTTTCTCTTGTCTGTGCTGATAAATCAAATATGCTAATAAGGTTCATTGTGAAGCTTCCTGCTTTCAGATGAGTCAGCAATTTTCATCTGGTGTGTAAGACTTTTTAAAACATGCAATACCTAGTTAGTCAGGGAACTGACCTCTCTCCCTCGATTGTCAAATAAAAAATGACAGCCCAGCTGCTGTGGCTCAGTGGTTGCACCAAGAAGTTGCTGGTTAGATTTCTGTTCAGGGCGTATGTCCAGATTGCGGGCTCGACCCCCCAGTAGGGGGCGTGCAGAAGGCCACCGATCAGTGTTCCTCTCTCTACCACTCCCTTCCTCTCTCTCTCTCTGAAAAATCAATAAAAACATATTTTTAAAAGTGACAACAGCCAACACAACAGTAACCATTCGGTGTGAATGAATCAGAATTATACTTTCTTTTTTTTTTGGTCAGAGCAGCAAAAGAATATATTTTTGGTGTGCCGCAGAACTTTAGTATTAGTTTATGTGTGCCATGAGATGAAACAGGTTGAAAATCGCTGAGGTAAGTTGAGGTGGACTAAATCTTACGAAAGCTGCTCTTTGAAGTCTCATCCACTTGACAGATGTGTACACAGCATCTACTCTGCACGAGGCACAGTGGAGGCTACAGATCTGTGTGAGGCTCTGTCCCTGCCCTTGGGAGCTCATGCTTGGATAGGGGAGGGGCTCCCCAACAGCAAGCCATGACCCACCCAGCACACACAGTGATTTGGGGGCCACCTGGGCCAGCACTGACTCACTGCGGGCTGTGGCATGTGGGTGTCTCTATGTTAAAGGGTCTTTCCCTTCTGGGAGCCGTGGCCAGCCACGGACATCCCAGGCAGTACTGGCTTAGGCCTCTCTTGTTGCTTATTGGTTAATATTTTGAAATTTAGTCCTAAATACCGAGTCACTGGTGTGCGCCTGCTGGGTAGAGAGTGGTGCCGGCGTGGCTGGGCTGTGCAGGTTGTGCAGCTGCTTCCGAGTAACTACAGAACCAGCAGGGCGATGCCATCCTTGGCCGGGAGCCTCACTCTCTTCCTGTCTCATTCAGAGCCCATTCAGTCCCGCTGCGCAGTCCTCCGCTACACAAAGCTGACCGATGCCCAGGTCCTCACCAGGTTAATGAACGTGATCGAGAAGGAGAATGTGCCCTACACCGACGATGGTCTTGAAGCCATTATCTTCACCGCCCAGGGAGACATGCGGCAGGTGTGTGCGGTCGCTGCCCGGAGGCATGGACCTCCTGGGCTTGCCATGCCCTTATTTTAGGGGGAAGAAGGAAGTGATGGCTGCGCAGAGCCGGAGTGGGGAGTGTTGACCCAACACACTGATGGGGCCTTGGGCTGATTGAGAGCAGGCTTGCAAGGAGGGTGCTCAGCTAAAGAGGTGGGGAAGGACCGAGACAGAAAATCACCCCGGTTGTTTTTGCTCCTCAACAGGCGTTGAACAACTTGCAGTCTACTTTCTCAGGATTCGGCTTCATTAACAGTGAGAATGTGTTCAAGGTACAAAAGCTGGCAGGGCATCACAGTCTACAGAAACTGTATCTATCTGCGGGGCCAGTGGAGTGGAGGCGGGAGGTGCTGGAAGGAAGGGGATGGACACGGTGCTGCCGCTGGGGCTCACCCTCGGAGCGGGGAGCTTGCTCTGCTTCCCGTGTGTCCCCCTGACTCCCTCACTGGAGAGTCGGAGGGACTTTGGGATGCCCTCAGGGTGCGATCCATGAAGGTGCTGCCACTGCTGCCTCAGGCTGACGCTGGTGCTTTCCGGGTGCTCTGGTCTGCACAGCTCCCCTGCACACGCGCTCTCGTCAGCATTTTGTGGCCGAGGAAACAGGCCCAGGCAGCCTGTCCGAGACCATCCAGCCGCTGGGGGCCAGGAGGGAGCCCAGCGCTTCCCCCTCTGCAGGCCTGGCTCCCACCGGAGACTTCCCCTCCGCACTTCCTGTCCTGGTGTGGGTATCGGAGCTCCTCAAGGTCGAGCCAAAAGATTCTCGTTCCCACATGACAGGATTTTCCTTCGGGGAATTCTTCTGAAAACTGATGGCCACATCCAACAGCCCAGTCTGATTTCCCCCTCATCTGGGGGTGTAACTGGGTAGGGCTGAATTGTGGGTAGAGAGAGCTGTGCTAAAAGCCTCTGCCTCGACCTGGGCAGTGAGGTATTTTCAAGGGCCCTGAGGGAGCTTGCTTGGTCACCTGTTGTGACGGTTAAGGTCTCCTTTCCTCCTGGAGCAAAGCATCGAGGGCTGCACACCAGGATCCTGAGGGAGTTCATTGACCTGGGAAGAGAAGGCCAAGGGCAGGGGTGGGCACTGCCTGGAGCTACCGAAGGCTGTCGTTTAGATTTAATGTTGACTGCGCTAGAGGGGGGACTCCCAGGCCAGTGGAGGGAGTGGCAGGGGGCAGCCTCTGGCCTCAGGGAGAGCTGCACCGGCTCAACAGGCGGCTGCTCCGGTCACGAGAGGCTGGGACCCTGTCCCGGGAAAGACAGTTGTGATTCCAGTGGGAGACCGGCCCAGAAGGCCTCCCAAGTCTTAGTGAGTTCTAAGTGGTTCTGGGCAAGTGATCACCCCAGGCTCTGAGATGTGACTTATAGTGGCTTTAATGCTGCCCCTGAGTGGAGATTCTTCAGTGGCCCTTGTTAATTCATCTTCTGTTGGGGAAATTGGTAACAGAATTGGTGTCAGAAGCCTTCCTCACTACAGTAAGTGAACATTATATTCTTTTTATTTGGTGACTTGTTTGGTGATGAAGGGCTTTCCTCAACCTGGTTCTGTTGCTGGAGAATTCAATGGAAAAAAAAATTTTCAGAGGTTGGTTACGTCGCACAGAGGCTGGTGTGTCAGTGTCCTCCTCAGATGGTCCCTCAGCGCTGACTCACCTTTTCGGTTTGGTCAGGTCTGCGACGAGCCGCACCCGCTGCTGGTGAAGGAGATGATCCAGCACTGTGTGAATGCCAACATCGACGAAGCCTACAAGGTCTGCTTCTTCCGCCTCCCCTGAGTCCAGAGGGCCCTTCCTCTTCCCGAGCAGGGCTGAGGGAGTTCCCTGTGCTGGGGGCTCACATGCATCCCTCCCCTGAATTCTTACAATGATGCTAGGAGTTGGTACACCCTACAGATGAGAAAACCATGACAGGCTAAATTCCGTTCTCTATATCAACTGTTTAAAAGTAGGATACCTGGAATTCAAAATCATGTCTTTGTACTATAGTTACATTCTCTGCATCAGGAATTTGCTCACCTAATGTGAGGGACGACCAACCCAACTCCTTACTTTGCAGTGACGCCGTCTTTCTCTGTTAAGGGGAGATTTCCCCTCCATCCTCCCGAGGATCATGGGAGTGAGCATCCTGGACCCAGCAGTCCCCAGTCAGCCAGGAGAGGAAAACCCAGGGGGTTTGGGGCCTGATTGTAGTCATGTGAGCAGGTTCCAGTGGGCGCCGTGTGGTTCAGGTGACCCTGAAGTCACATGAGTGGCAGTGGTGTGATCTGAGGCCATTGGACTGATCACAGCCAGTTTCCCTGCTCCCACTAAATTAGGCTAGAAGTTGACTGAGTTTAGGGCAGGGTTAGAACTAATGTGAAATGAGTGCAAGGCAGGGAGACGGAGGCAGAGACCCTGGTACCGGATTGGGTCACCGAGTGGGCCTGAAGGAAGCCTTCAGATTTAGGCACACAGAGCTTCCCTGCTCCCTGAACCCCTGAATTTACCCCAGGTGCTAAAGCAAAGGCACAAACAAGTGATTCCAGACCCTGCAGTCCAGATAGTGTGGAGTAGGGATGGTGAGAAGGCAGGAGGCCGAGACCACTGCTCTAATCCCTGCCCTGGTCAGGATGTTCGGGGCTGCTCCTGCAGGGGGTGGGTTAGGACTCTGTAGCTAGGGAAAGCATAGCAGACACTACAGGGGTGGGGAACCTTTGTTCTGCCGAGGGCCATTTGGGTATTTATAACATCATTCGCGGGCCATACAAAATTATCAACTTAAAAAGTAGCCTGCTATATCTGGTCAAACAGTTAACTCACCCCTCCTGCCGTGGCAGGGCCAGACCAAAGGATTTCGTGGGCCTTAAACGGCCTGCAGGCCGGACATTCCCCACCCTGACAGGGTTCTCCTGCTTCTGCTCTGGGGTATACAATGGTTACCAAAGTGCTTAAGAGGCTCGGGGACAGTAGTAGACATTGCAGGACATTTTAAAAATCTGCAATATTATCTGTGCTGGAAAAATCAGTCAAATTATCCCCACGTGATAAAAAGGGCGTGGCCTACCAGCTCCATGGTGCTCAGCTGATTCTCAGAATCGCTTGGGTTTTCTAGGATGAGCAATGTGACCAGCCTGAGATTTGTGTGGCTTTAACCTCGTTTCCCGAGTATCCTTGTCATGTACGGAGTTCAGCACCCTCAGCATGTTCTCTTTTTATAGATTCTCGCTCACCTGTGGCATCTTGGCTACTCACCAGAAGACATCATTGGCAACATTTTTCGAGTGTGTAAAACCTTCCAAATGGCAGAATACTTGAAACTGGAGTTTATTAAGGTCAGTAAGTGTATAGCCATGTCTCTCTCCTCAAGGATCCCGGCCACGCTGTGGTTCTCATTGTTTCACTTACAGGCCTGGCATCAGGAAGATGCTCAGAAAGTGTCCCCAGCTCTGACGGAGGCGGGCGGCTGCTTGTCCTGGGGCTGGGAGTTTGTTTAAGCCCATTCTACCAGTCAGTGACCTACTGTTCCTTACAATGACTCTCGTTAGAGATTTGTGTGTTTATTCATCTTTAAGGTCAGATTAATTGAGGTATACTTTACATAGAGGAAAATTCAGCCTCTTAGGTGCTTTCTGTGAACAAAAGCATTCAGTTGTGTAAACACAACTCTAATATCCCAACTTTGTCCCTTCCCTCTATCACCTGGAAACCACTGATCTGCTTTCTCTTTGGGGGACAGAATTTTCCAGAATATGATACAGATGGAATCAAGCAGAAACATAGTCTTTTGAGCCTGGCTTTTTCACTTAGCTGAATGTATTTTGTATTTGTTCATATGTTTGCTGTGAGGGTCCATGGGCCCTTCCTTTTTTATTGCTGAGTAGTATCCCATTGTATGGAGGTGCGGTTGCTTGGTCGAATGGTAAGTCTAAGTTTAACTTGATAAGAAACTGCCAAACTTTTCCAGAGTGGCTGTAACATGTTGCATCCTGTCAACAGTGATGAGTATTTCAGCTGATCCACATCCCAGCCAGCACTTGGAATGCTCAGTTGGAATTTTAGTCACTGTCATAGGCTTGTAGAGGCTTTCATTTGCATTTCCCAGTGGCTAATGATGTCGAGCACTTTTTCACGTGCTTATTTGCCATCCCCAGTCTTTGATGAAGCATCTGTTCAAATCTCCCCAGTTTTTCATTGGATTTGTTTTCTCATTGCTGAGCTTTGTTGGGTTTTTTTTTATCCTTAACCAACGATATTTTTCCATTGATTTTTAGAGTGGAAGGGAGAGGGAGAGACAGAGAAACATTGATGTGAGAAAGACACATCGATTGGTTGCCTTCTGCGACCAAGGTACGTGCCCTTGATCAGAATCGAACCCAGGACCCTTCAGTCTGTGTGCCGATGTTCTATCCACTGAGCCAAACCAGTTAGGGCTCATTACTTAGTTTTGAGTGTTCTTTATGTATATTCAGGTATGTGTTCTATAAGTATTTTAATAATGCCTTTTTTATTTTCTTAACAGTATCTTACAAAAAAATACCAATATCCTTTTAGGAAATAAATTGAACTTTAGTTAAACATAATGCATGACAACTTAGAGTTCATTTTATAGTTGGAGTTAGAATTCATTACATCAATTTTGAGTAAACCATTAGTACAGATTTAAAAAAAAATAAATCTATCCCTCACTAACCAGATTTAAATGTTATTTGTTTTTCAGGAAATTGGATACACTCATATGAAGATAGCCGAAGGTGTGAACTCTCTTCTGCAGATGGCAGGGCTCCTGGCCAGGCTGTGTCAGAAGACGATGGCCCCGGTGGCCAGTTAGAGCGGAGAACTCATTGATGGGCGACAAGAGGCCCTGAGAGACGGGACTCACAGCCTTCGCTCTGGGAGAGAACGCTGCCCAGACTGCCAGTGGGACTCGCCGTTTAGTAACATGCCGTGGCCTTCCCGTGCTTCTACACACATCTCCAGCGCGTTTGCATTCAGCCCCAGGCTCTGAGACGGGACGGGGGAAAGGCCGCCGAGAATGTCCAGGGCATGGCACCCAGTCTGGGTGTGGGTTGGCATTTTAGCTAATAAAACTGTACAATTTGTCAGCAATAATGTGGCAGGGCAAGTCTGCAAAGAAAGCCAGCTTCCTGTCTGCATGCTTCTTGCATCCTACAAGTAGAAAAGGTGATTTCGATGACAGACGGGACAAGCGAATCTCAATTTTTCTGGAGGTCAGTTCCACGGGGTGAGGGCAGTGTTTGTTGTAATTTACTGACCATTTAGAAAAACTACTCAACAGCTTGGGACCATGAGCTCTTTAGAAAGGACTTAAGGTGTCGCTGAGGAAAATGGTGCAGGCCTGGCGCGTGGAGACCGCCAGGTCACCTTGTCTGTACAGTGCTTGTTGATTTGGCATTTCCCAGTAAACTTTATGTTAACCTGTAGAATTGCTTTTTTTGTAAGATACTATTTTTTTAATTATGAAAAAATACCAATTGTACATAAAACATTGAATGATATTCACATACTCATCACCATCTTAACAGTTACACCAACACATGGCCTATCTCGTTTTCTCTGTATTCCTACCGCCCCACTCGGATTGTTGTGAAGCAAATCCCAGATGCCATTTTAGAATAGCATTGTTTGTGTGTTTGTTTAATTGATTTTGGAGAGAAAGGAAGGGAGAGAGAGAAACATCGCTTAGTAGCCTCCTGTACGTACCCCAACCAGGGATCGAATCCACTGTGCCCTGACGGAATCAAATCCGTGACCCTTCAGTGCACAGGACAGCGCTCCCACCGACTGAGCCACACCGGCCAGGGCTAGAATGGTGTTAATAGAGTGGGGACGGGAGTCACTCATCCTGTGGTGAGTGGACTCGTGAAAGGCTTTGATTAAAAACACTTGTGTGACATGCTGGCTCTTCCTGCCCTGTGGTTTCCCTGACGAAGGGCCACAGCAGTGCGGACCTGTGTGCCCATGCCGCACGTATTGCTGGGACAGCTGGGTGAGCCCATCTGCTTTCTCCCTGCCAGCTTGGTTCAAACAGCTCACGCTCCATCCAGCCTGACCCTCTGGAGCAGGAGGAAGCAGGAGGGCAGGGCCTGCTGCCCTTCCACCGACTGCCGCCCTCCCAGGCTGTGCAGTCGCTTGCCCCGCCCACAGTGTTGGGTACTGACACTGAAGAGACATGGAAAAGGCTCTGATTACTGGCTTTTGGGTTTGGTTTTCAATTAAGAGAAAAACATAATTAAGGTCCTCAGAAACCGCGAGGTGAAGTTTTACAAAACACACATACTTCCTCGTATTTTTTGTCGGGAGCTTGGGGATCCCTGTCAGGTGAAGGAACGACTGCCCAGCTTGCAGGTGAGGGGCCCCAGAGACATCAGGGCTTCCACACCTGTAACCCAGGAGGGACTCCCCACCCGAGCCTTGGCCCTGCCACACCCCCTGGTCTGAGCTTGTGAGGTCAGGGCTGCAAGGTGTGAAGTGGCAAATGGCCACAGCCATGCTCGAGATGTTTTTTCTATTTTCCTAACGTGTCATCAATTCTCGGAAAGATGGTGTGCCGCCCTGGAAAGAGGTGCCCTTTGGGGCCACGGTCCTATCCCCAGGCCGCAGGCTCCCTCTCTGACACAAGAGGCTGAGTCACTCCCTTGGTTGTACACGAAGCAGAGAAAGCAGACGTGAGAATCGCTGCCCTTAAACTAAAAAGGTTTATTGAGGTTTTGAAAGGAGGCGGCATTTTTCCCTGAGTGGCTTTTCTGACTCAAGGTCCCACTGGGCCTCTGCCCTTCCCCTGAGACCGTCATGCTGCCAGTCAGGGAGCTGGAGCAGAGGAGGCATTCAGGGCACCCGAGGGACACCACTGCGCC